AAGGTGTCTGGCATATTCCATAACAGCACTACTTCAGGTTTCAAAAAAGAAATGTTATAGTTAATTAAAGAGCAAAAATCCCTGCAACATAACCAAAATGCTAAGCCAGGACCCTTCACCAGCATGGGTATACATACAAGATGCGATTCACGTCACTTCAGGTGCTCCTGTTCCGCCTGGAACTGCCCTAGAGCTTTGAAATCTAAATAAGGTTATTCATAGTCACTGCAAGATGTATTTGAAACACCTCCTTGCCATTCAGCCTGCTGACCACTAGCTGTCCCCATTGCTTCACAGGAGTAAAGGGCTGGAACAGAAACAAACACGACTTCAAAAACGTGTGCTCCTACTCTTAGGGGACAAAAAGGAATGAAAGCTCAGAAAACTTAGAAGAAGCTACTGCAGCTCTGTAAGGCTGTAGGTAAGGAAACGGATGTGTAGGAGAAGGTCTATATCCCGAGACAGATCAACATGGAATTTGCTTAGGATGCAATCTTAGGAAATCTATGGCTCTATGCCATGGCAAAGGAAAGCCCTGGAGACTCATGGAGCAGAACAGGAATAATCAAAGTGGACTAGAGCATTCCAGTGTTCCTGCCTAGTCCCTGACCACAGCCGCACATCATCATCTGCACTATCTAAGATAATGCCACCTTAGGAGATGTTTTCCCAACCAGTACATGGTGGGTGCTACTTCCTAACCTCTGAATATAGAAACTACTCAAATTTAGAACTAGAAACATGTATCCCAGAGAAGCCATAGGGGGAAGGTGCTTTATGCTTATTTCAAACCCATGAAGTTCTTTCCTCTCTTGAGAATTCAGGACAGTTTCTCATTTCCATTCACCTTTTGGCATCTCAATAGGAGCCCAGAACACAGAATTGTCACTGTATTTGTTAGATCTAAAAGATCTTGGATTTGGTCTCTTCACAAACCAACTTGGAGAAATCTCATTTCATATTGATAATGCGTGGGATTTATCATCACATAATAGAAGCTATTGAGAAGGCAGAATAATATTCTACAAGGCCATTAATTCCACCTTAACTGCTTTTGTAGCCTTAATGCTGCTACTCACAAAAGAATGATGGAAGACATATGAAAATATATGCTTGAGAAGAGTGTTTGAATTTGGATGCTATTTATTGCTTTTTGTTCAGCCTTTGTTAAATCAGACCCATTATCTGCTCTGTAATATTTGCTCATAAAAATCAAAGACAAGGCAATGTCATTTCTAATGTGCCAGGCCTGAAGCACATTGCTCCAACCAGCAAAGCTGCTAATACATCACTCAAGGGCTGTTGTCACTCAAGTCAGCTATTCAGACCATCACCTACCCTTTTCATTGCTACATTAGAGCAAGCAAAGATGAGAAGGGTAGGAAAGCTTGACATTACTATATCCTTCAAAATATAGTTACAGGAAAACATACTCAGGAAAGAGAGACAGGCTCCTGCTTTGTTACTCCAGGCTTCTACTCAGGTGGAAACTCTCTGCTGCTCAGCCACCATCACTCCTGCATGTAAAAGCATAAGGCACTAAACCAAAATGCTTGTAAAGAGCTTTATTCAGAACCACAAAATGCAATTCACAGTTCTCAGTGCAGGATCACTGGTAAAATAATACAAAAAGTAAAATGAGTTTTTAAATTTCACCAAGTTGGAGAGGAAGAGTTTAGAATTCAAAATATATTGACAATTTCCTTTAAAATGGGCTACAATCCTGAACCAAAACTCCTTTTAGTTTTAGTTCCAAATTCTGAACTTTGCTGTATTAAGGTACATGGAAGCCTTGGGCATCCAATGTGCCACCAGCTACCTGCTGAAGGCCTGCATGAAGTAACTGAGTTTTTCACCTGTGAATGTGCCGTATTAGTGCACTGACTTTAAGATCTATTTACCAAAAGTAGCAGCACCAAATACTGCACATGTATAGTACTGCATACAAACACTTTACAGATATAACAAATGACTGAAGAAGCTTCTGAACTGTTTTCTCAGAAGCTCTGACTGAAGAAGGGCACATTTATAAAGGGTTGGGTAGACCTATAGACTGCTCTTTCCAAGATGACACCTCTTACTAATACGTATTCCTGCTATAAAGTATGAAAAGCAACTCAAATCCAAATTCCTTTATACTTTGTGTTAGAGAACCTATGAAAAGATTTAGTTTAAATGAATTCTATCAGCATGTGATTGTTCACATACCCCAGCAGTTAGAAAACTTCTAAGTCTAAAGACTGTGGTTCAACAATGATATAAATTAAAAAGCCTTGGACTAACTGAGAGCAAATTACTTGCTGAAATCAGCCCAACTCATGGTACTTGAGAATCCCATGGAAGCAGTTTCCTGCTTTGAGGTCACAGCATGTGGCCAGAGGAGTAAAGTATTGTCAATTTAACAAACATATATTGTAAAGTTCTTTCTTTTAGCAGTATGAAACAAGGAAAATAGTCTTCTTCCATGCCCATACATACACATACTGAGTGAAAGCATCAAAAGGTCGTAATTACTATTTTTTTCTAATAATCCTGAATAAACTATTTTACTACTTTCAGTAGCTTCAGGAACCAAATTATACCACTGTGAAAAACTAATCAGCCTTTCCCATGTAACAATGCAGCAGTAACATAAAGAATGAACACATGGCTATGGCCTGGTCTACCCAACATTCCTGAACGCTTTGAGAAATGTGGATCAGAAACCAGGCTATGTCACCAGACCCAGTCTGTCTGCAGTGTTTGTGCTGGGGATGGATTAGGCAGCAGGAAAAGTTTAGTTCAATGCAGGTGATTAGACTATTTTCCAGGCAGCTGGAGGGCTACAACAACTGTCACCATAAAGGAGCAAACGCTGCTTCTTCTTCTGGCTGATTTACTGGTACACCTGCATTCAGGGGAGGTATAGAAATGCTTAAAAGGAGAAGTTCCCAACAGTTTTGAAGAGGAAGAAAGGAAATAGAAATCAAGTTACAACAAAAAGCTGTAAAGAATCTAACTATTTCAACAGTCTGAAGTTGAGAGCTAGCAAGCAACCACATTGGTCTGAATGACTGAGAAAGGGAGTGAAACACTCCAGTTTAAAATCAAAAGAAGTATCTATGGATTATGTGGCATTTGAATCCCATTTCTTTGGTTAGCTATAGACACAGGCTGTGTAGAGACAGCTAATTTGGAATTAGACCAGTATGATTTATTTTCTGATCTAGAAGAATGAAGTTGAATTAAGCTGTTCAGATACATGATGTGCTGATTAATGACTCCCCCAGATTGGAAGGGTCTGTTCCAGTAGCTATGCTAGTCACTGTGAATGGCCAGCTGTCACAGATGTGTAAACTGCAACTGAATAAGCTCACATATGCAAGAAGGAACAGTTTCTGCCAACTTCCCCCACCTAGTGCTTTCTAAAATACCTTTCAACAATGCTGCTGGCAAAACATCATCCCCAAAAGCTCACAAGAAGTGAAAGAGCACAAATTTTACCCAGTAGGAAGAACCTGAAGGAGGCAGCCCATGCTGCTCCACTTAGCCTTGAAATGAACATGCAGAAAAGGGTTTTCCACAACCACAGTCACAACCCATCTTGAGAACACAGCCAAAGCATTCTCTCACAAAAGGTGGTGTCAGGTGTGAGAAGTGATTTTTTCCTCCTGAGAACCAGGAGGAACCTGTAAGTTTAAATGGTGCTAAAGTGCAAAAGACTCTGAAAGACAAAATAGCCTCTGAACAAAGAAAAACCTCATTATACTTTGCACCTGTTTAAGACAAAAACCCTTGTAACAAGTTGGTTCATTAATAAAGGTGCAATTAAGTATCACGTCATTAAAAGCACAGGAATGAAAACAAGAAAATCTCATTAAGAGACAATGCTGAGGGATCTACCTCTTGAAAAAAATGAAATCAACACTTTCTCTCCTGGCTCCTCACAGCAATTTGTTCCTTACAAACATGGGGTTGCTCCTGAAAGGGAAGAAACGGCTTGTTTTGAGCTAAAAAGCTAGGATGTGTTCCCGTATTTCTAGGAAAAGGTGCTACTTATTGCAAACAGGCACAGCAATGAGAACAGAACAACCTTTAGGGAAAACTACCACTCATTTCAATATCACAAACAAGACACAAGACACAGAGAAAGTGACAAATTCTGCATTCTCCCAATAACAGATTCTCTTTCTGTTAACATTGGAAGGTCGAGCAGAGACACTTCAATCGCTGTGGCAAGCAGCCAGCTCATGAATAGGCTTGCTAACATCAACAAGACTATGCCTATGAACAAATGCTCAAAATGACTATGAGACTTCTTGTATATCCTTTGTAATGGTAAAATCAGCAGGATTACTGCGGCTTCCGAGTGCCCTCCCACATGGACTAAGAGCTGAAGAAGAGGGCTCAAGTGAGAAACTGTGTGAGAGCTGCAGTTAAAGACTGAACTGGTCCTTAGTGTTCCAGTTTAAAATAATACAGCACCTTGTAAAAAAAGAACTACCAGCCCAGCAGATACCAGGCTTTAACTCACTATTAACCTAGGGCCTGAAGTTACATTCTGACATGTATTCCTCAGGAAAAAATACTACTTCTTCTGTCTGAATAGTTATTGGTTAACTACACACACAACTCTGCTTGAAGACCAAGAGATTTCAAACTGCATTCAAAAGTATAGAACCAGGATGGTGATACATAAAGGATCTGTGAGAAAGGAAGCACTAGTCCTAGCAGCAAGGTGGGGTTGCCTGCATGGTCAGCCCTTCATTTGAATGCAAATGTAATTTTGGGGCAGGCAGTTATCTGTGACATCAGGCAGGACCTTAGTAAACTGTTACCACCAGCACCTGGTAAAACCATTGTTAATCATGTGTAGTAAAGGGACATCAGGGCTAGCATGAGTCATTTATAGAGCCAGTCAGGGCTAGAAAAGAGAGAAAGAAAGAGGAGGGGAAGAGAGATCAAACACACACTGTGAGGAGCAGGATGTCCCAGCAAGACAAAGCCAGGCTGTGAGCATCATGTATGTGAGTTACCTTTTGGATAAAGAAACCAGCATGTATCCAGGATCTGCAAGGTGCAGCAGCAACAACCTGCCAGTGCAAAACTTTGTGTCTACTCCGTCTTATCCGGATTACATGGGATACCATCATGTGCCAGCTCTGGACACCCACAGCCAGCCTGCGGGAACCTGGGGATCCCACTATGGCCCGCAGAGGGAGGACTGGAACGCTTACGGCCCAGGACCTTCTAGCACGGTTGCTGCTGCTCAGATCAACAGCTCGTCTCCTGGACAGGTCTCCTACACTTCTGCTGATTACAGCTCCCTCCATCCCGCTGGATCTGGGGGGTTACCTCCTGTAGATACAGTTAATACACAGCAAATCTCTCCCAACAGCCAAAGGCACAGCTCTTATGAATGGATGAGGAAAACGGTGCAATCCACTTCCACAGGTAGGAGGGCACTGAAGTTTTATGCTGAGAAGAGATTTTGCTGCTTTTGCATTGTTTGGGTTTTTTTGCCAGGTTCCCTGTTTAGAGGCAAGTGTCCAGGGTAACAAAGATAGATCCTAATTGTTCTGAAGGATTCTTTTTCTAGCAGTTAAATGTTGGTTCAGTTATTGGATGCTGGGTTTGATTTGCTGACTACTTATATTTCTTTGTTGACCTTTAATACTGAGACGAATGCAAAGTCTTTTGACAGAGAAGTATTTTCACTTCAGAGATGTTAAAAAAAAATCTGATATCAAATAACTGCTTTAAATAGGAATCCTATCACTTGGAATGTAGCAGCATGTCTGCAGAAAGAAATAATGATAAAAGTATTGTATTTTACACCACTCACCTATACTTTGCTTATTTTCCTCAAGTTTTAGAAATATATATGAAAAGTTCAAGTAAAATATAAATACTAGGAGACTGGAAGTAAGGCTTCATATTCGAAACAACTTCTCTAAACCTCAGAACACTGAAATGAGATCTGCAAGGTCAAACACTGAGTCAATGCTCTAAACCCAGGAGTGATAAGGAAAACTCTGCTTCACTCAGTAGTAGTAACTCTCAAGATATGCAAGAATAGAGATCCCTGGTAACACAATCAGTTAATACAGCCACAGCTCAGTCTCCAATGTGTAATTCTTCAATTGTGTTTAAGCAGTAAGTCATTAAGCAAGAGGAAAAGGTTATGTTTGACTGTCATGAGGAACAACAGAAAAAAAGAGAAACATAGAGCATCCCTAAAACAAAACCCTCAACTTGTACGAATAGGAAAAAAAAAAAAGAAACAAGACAGGGGAGAAAGAAACGAGGGAAAACTGCCTGAAAAGAACAGAGGCCCAATGCACTATATAACAGTATTTGATCCTCCAAGGTGCTGAGCAGTTTTGCCATGCACTGAGATCAGTAGAAATTAAGGCTGCTCAATGCTTCCCCTAAAGAGATGCTCACAGTATTCCAGTGTTAACATCTCAAGAAGGTTCCTTTCCTTTCAACCCTTCCTCTCACCCCAGCTCTGTTCCACACATGCCTGTAAATAATAGTTTTCAAAGCAAGCACTGAATCAATCTCTGATGGAAAAGCAATTGCTTAGAATAGACTTTAGAAAAATTAAAGCAACTGTATAGAAAAATTGTCTGTATTAAAAGGATGCATTTAATTTCTATGGACAGACGGAGTTATCCTCAATCCTGCTGCACACAACTTCAGTTCAGAGCGTCCACAGAAGTGAACAGGACAATCAGAATAGGTTGTTACTCTGGGTGAACAGAATTTTGGGGTGGCTGAAGCAGCAGGTATTTTAAAACCAGATTTGTTCTTCAATGAATACTCTGAGCAAAGACAAAAGAGGTTGGTCTTATAAAAAACAGCTTACTTTTGAGTATCCCCTACAAGAGCAATGGAACTGCTCACAAACTGTGATTTACAGATGGCAGAACACTTGCTCAAAACCCCCCAGCCTCTCATCTCTTCTTTCCCCACCTGCCTTTTGCTCCTGTGGATTTAAACTGCAGTCTTTCAGAGAAAGGACTTACTTGACCTGTCTATGCTGTCCCTTTTCTAGTAGGGTGGATACACTGTGAGATAGATTTATATATATATATATATATATATATATATTGAAAATAGACAATACCACATTCTAACTGCCTGCTGTCTGCTCAAGAAAAATGCTTAGGGCTTTCTAACCTTCCAAATTTCAAGCCTGCACAGGGCAGAGCATTCACAGGAAGTGGTGGGACTCTATTCTGGAATGGGCCAACAAGACACTGAGCATCTTAATTTCAGGAAAAGCTGAAGAAATCAGCATGTCATAGTAGCATACACTCGCAAATGCCCAGAGGCCAGCATAAGGCCCTCTGAAGTTAGTGGGAGCCTATCATTCATTTAATGGCTATTGGGTCATGCTTTAGGGAAAATCACAGATAAGGAATTCTTCTGCTGCTTGTTCCCCTCTTCTTGTGATTTGCTAGGCCAGGAATGCTCAGTGCCAATAGATCTGAAGTCTGTTCCTTTTACTGGATCATGATCAAACCCCTCAGCATTTTCTTAGATGGAATTTTCTACTCCCTAAGGCTGTATGCACACACTGAGCACTACCCTTCTGTCTCTCTGCAAACCTTTAGGAATGTCAGTAAAGGTCTTGTATAGGCAAGAGTGAAGGAATCACACCTATTATTATTAGCTTCTGTTATTCCCTGTAAATAGATTTGAGCCACTCTTCTTAAGGATGGAAGAACTGAGGCTCAGACTTACCTGAAGTGATCAGAACAGAAATTAGACACACTGATTTTATTATTTGTTCATTACTTACGTTGAGTAGTCTGACTTGGAGCAGCTACAGAAATGAGACGCAGAACCAGTGATGTTTCCATCTCCAGAGATTTCATGATTTATCTTCTCCTATCCATGCTTTGTGGCCTCAGGACCTGACAGATGACAAACAAAACACTTGATTGAAATTGCTGCCACTGCCTCAGGCCCTCCAGGTCTTTCAATACTCTGTTACCTACACCTAATCTGAAACAAAAGAAGAAATGATTTCAAGTCTTATTCTGCAACTTTAAATAGAATATCTGATGTAAAACCATGTCTTCAACTGGTATTCAGTGAAGGTTTTGAGGTTATGCTACTTGAAACTGGAAGATCTCAGTATTTAATGCCAGCCTATCATCCTAGTTTAGTGTTACAGGAATACTGAGGCTTTCAACCATCACTCCCTCTGGTTGAAGAATGTCCGAGTGTTTCTCCCTGTAACTTTGGAACTGGAGGGACTGGGACTTAATCCTAAACACAGTGCAGGTAGGATCCAGTGCTTAGTCACTGCATTCTTGAGGGTGCTCAGGATAGAGGATAAAGCAAATGTGTTTTGACTCCAAACACCTGAAGGAGGAAACACTGACTGCTTACTGTTTTCAACCAAGAACACAGATGGGAAAAGACCCTTCTCTAACCCTTACGCTGGTCCTGTGCCCTCTCCTAAAGCCCCAGTTTAACAGAGCAAGCAAAGCCAAGGCAACCAGTCACTGTAACAGAACAGAACAAAGCCACAGCAACTGCACATTTGAGGTGGAAATTCCATGCACACAAAGCATAATTACAGGGAAATTCTTTGATGGAGAGTAGAATAAAATCACCTCAGAACAAGTTACAAATCTCTTCTTGTTGATTTCAATGCATTTATGGAGGTCTGCAATCACTCACACAGGAGCAAACTTTACTTTTTGCCTCTGAGAGAAAACAACATACATCTGTGGTAAACCAGTGCCCAAAACAATAAGATGGAGCAGTTAAGTACCAGGCAGTTCCAGCAGCAATGAGAAGCTGCTCACAAAGCTAAAAGTACATCTTAAGAACTGCACTTCCATGATCATAAAATAGGAAGGGAACAAGTTTTGAAACAGAGGTGAAGTGATTATGAGCAGAGGCTTTTCCCATAGGTGACAGCTCTCCTATCTTTGTCGTTCCATAAAAATAGCTCTGCAAGCACAAGACAGTTTTTCTGATGATGGTGCTATAGCATCAGCACCAAATGTGCTGCAAACATATAGCATCTAGTCTTTGAAGGAAGAAGTTATATTCCCTCAAACCTAAGGAGGAGAAACAAGTCTCTTAAGAGGCCATTCCTGCAAAATGCTGAATGCCTAAAGAATATACAACACTTTGAAAAACATTCAGTTATTCACTTGCTTTTTAGTCTATACAGTCCTTGGCAATGGGATTTCCCCCATCTTGCCACTTGGAAATCCACCTGCATCTTCTGCCAAACAAAATCCATACCGGGAGGTCCGTCCAATCCTTGTTTAAAGGTGATAAAAATGACTCTGCTTTAGAGTCAGTTATTTCTGCATGATGAATACAAAAATTTACACCAGCAAAGTGAAAGACAGAATTTGGCCAATGAGCTTTAGTACAGAATAGCAGAACACATTCAAAATTGTAAGCATTAGCATTTTGTATAGAAGTCAACAGAAGAGAAGGGAAAATTCTTCAAGTCTGTAGAAAGGTCCCAATTCTATGATCCTCTTCTGTTCTTTTCAGCATGGGTTCTCTGGACATGTGTAAGAGGAACAAACATAGAAAATACAAACAGAATTTTGCCATGTTTCACACACCTTTATGCACCTAACTTCGTAATAACATCAGTCCTACTCATGGCACCAAGGCTCCTGGCAGGAACACTGTCATTCATGTTACACAGGTTGGACCAAGCTCACACAGGGGCAGCCTGGTATGGTTTGGTTGAGGCTTTATCTGATGTCACTTTACAGAACATCACATGCAGCACAATGTCCATCTTCAAGACTTATTTAAAATTACTGTTGCTTCACAACTTCACTTAAACCAGTGAAGTTACACTAGGGAGAATTTGCCCTTTTCTCTTCCTACATTTCCAAAGTGCTTAAATATCTAGAGAGACTCCCAAAACAAAACTCTGGGGCCTGATCTTTGACAGTCCATATCTATAAGCTCAAAAACTTAACACTAATCTCTTAACAAACATCAAGATACAGATGTGAACCGAGCATGTCTTCAGGCCAGGCAGCTGATTCATGTTTTGAGCTGACTTCAGCGAGTTTCCAGTCCTCAAGTACAGACATTAACTTCCTCTGAAACATTAAACCACAGAATCCAGATTACAATCCTTTGTAAATAATCCAACATCATCTGATATTATTCTACACCAGGGCATCTTCTATCTAAAGTAGGTAGAGCTTCTGGATTTTATGAGGTAGATGAAGAATATTCCTGAAAAGCTAAGAGTGGAGGCACTAGAAAGAGGCCAGGGCCAGTTCTGATGCTAATTTATTTTGCTTTGTAAACTAGTTGTGAGGTCCGATGGTGGAGTTGTTTTTTTTTTTTTTCCTTTTCCTGGCTACATTGTCTGAGGTTTTGAGGCCTATCTGTCATATTGAGGCAACAGACCCTTTTAACACTTCGCTTTGCTTTGATATGCAGTCTTGTCTCTTCCTTCTCCCTCTTTTCTTCAGGAGTTATATTGCCGGAAAGGGTGATGATTTTCACAGCAAATAAAGAGGCCTTCTCCCAGCTTTATTGTCTTCAGAAGAAATGCTCTGTGAATTTTATGACCAATGGGAAAACCGTTCCCTTCCCCCAGCTCAAAACCTGGCCAGTCACAAAAATTGCCAGAGTGTGATAGAACAGGATTGTTAAACTACAGCCCATGACAAGTTTCCTAAGTCTGAAATGTCTCATTTCTTATCCCTCCAGAGGCAACAGTCAATAGTCTTCAACAGTCACTGTTTGTAAAATAAGAGTTCTGACAAAACTCATTGTTCTCAAGCAGCTCATCAAGCCCAGGAAATCCACTCCCCCAACACAAAGGCAAAGGTGCTACTTCAAAGCTCATTTTTCTTCCACCCAAATACTACTAACCTCTCCAGCCACTTGCAATTCCATAGTATCTGCTACTGATAGAACACATTTCCAATAAAGCTGACACTATATTGCTTATTAAAATAATATCACTCACAAAAGATTAATCCAGATTATAGGAAGTGATACATTGGTAGTTTCAGTCACCCAAGTGAGTAGGATTTGACTAAAGAATTGGATTAAAATATTAACTTCTATCATTGCATCATTAAATTCTGCCATTACCTCCTAAAGAAGTCTGAGAAGTGAAGAACATCCTTCTGCTGCCTCTGGTGAACCCATTAGTCCTACCTTAAATTTTGCTCAGGTAATACTTCTCGAAATAAAATGCATCACTGTAAATAAGACCAGTAGAAGATTTGTCTCAGAAGGCAGCAGAGTGCATCTATTCCATCCTACAGATGCAATTTAGAGGCTAAAGGCCTAAACTGTTTAGAGATAGCTTTTGTTGCTGCTGTTTGTTAACTCTGGCAAACAGAAGTGTACTTTGCCTTTGAAAGGAGATGCCATATGCGGCCTAATTCCAACCCAGCATCCAACAAAGGCATTAGGAAGACTCTCACTGCCATCAGTGAGGGTTTGGGTGAAGGCCTAACAGTCTAAAACAGGTCTCTGCCAGAGTAAAAGCATCCTCTGGAAGACCCTGTCAGGTCTCAGCTCCCACTGGCTGTTGTCTCCCTACACAAAAGAAATCAAACTATTAAAGACAATATTTATGTGACAAATCAGAGAATTTTCTCTGATCCTCGTTGACTTTCAGGAAGGAAATGTTCTCCTTTTGCCTTTCTACTTTCTGAATTGTTCTCTTAACTTACTTTAAAGAAAGTAGATGTGCAAGCTCCCAATCTTCCTTCAAAAAGAAACCAGATATTTTTTACTAAAAATAAACTGAAAGCTACTCACACACAAACAAAGGATTTGATGAAAGCTCCGTTTTCTACATACATTTAATTCCTTGTGCAGTTTAAAAACCAAAAAGCCCAGCCCTCTCCTGTTCAGATAACAGGGGTTAAAGCATTTCAAAACAGAAACAGGAAGGCTTAGCCTGAAATTTACTGTCTTGTTTTGGCAATAGAAGAATATTCTATATTTGTCTATGGCTTCTGAATGAGAACAGAGTTCAAGATAAGATCACCTTGTTGCTCTTTTGTGTACTTCAGTTTAACACCACAAAGGAGACCAAGGAAACATTTTAAACATTTTAACCCATAAAATGGCCCCAAATTCTCATTTAAAGAGGGGAAAAAAGCACAACTAAACCATCGGCTAGAGATCAAAAATACCAAGTGAGGCATTAAAGCACCACGGGTGACCATACGTTAAACAAACAATTTACACTTCGAATTAATGAAAACAAATGTCCCGGTATTTATGTGGACTGACCTGAGTAACTGCTCTTCTTCAGAGACTCTCAAATTCTTCCCATAATGTTGTAAAATTAGCAGCACTTTTCACTCGATTATCAGTGTAAACATAATGGGGCTCATTCTGCTTTCACTGAAGTTTTGCAATGACAGAAATGCCACTGAAATGAGAATGTCTTACACATTACCTACCTCAGCCAAGCAGCAGAACCTTCTCAGGGAAGGCACAGTGGTTTTGCTTGCATGGTCTCAGCAGAAAACCCGGTGAGAGGAACACACACAAACATGCACACACCTGTTTTCCCCATTGGATTCCCTCAAGCCCACAGCATTGTAAAGGCCTTATTAATGCACAGTGCTTTCCCAGGGATGAACACCATGGAGCATAGAAGCTGAAGGATCAAGTTCTGATATAGACCTTTTCCTACAACCCTGGGAAAAGTCCTACAGAGAGTCCAATAGGGTGAACCAGTTGTTATCCACAACCAGAGGTGAACAGCATCACACTGACCAGGACTTCCAGTGCTAAACAAGTATTTAGGATCTGCACAAACAGATCAAAAGGATCAGAGCCTGAAGAAGCTTCTAATGCAAGTAATACTTTGGAGAGCTAAGAATTCTTCTAAGTAGCAAAGTACTGACTGTCAAATGCTGTAAGAGAAAAAAAAAGTGATGTGGCTCAATCCACTACCAGCAAGTGGAAGGCAACGTTAGCTTTAAATATGTTCAGCTATTGAACAAAGAGACATCACATCTTCCTCCACAGATGGGGGGAAAAATGTTAGCCTGTAAAACCAAACCATGAATCAAGGGATAAAATACTTTTAAGATTCTGCTATAGTTCTGTACATTGAATTCTGATCTTTTCTGATGTCAAACTTCAAAAGCAAGGGGAGTTTGGAGGAGGGGCTGGGGAGAAATCAGACTTTTGCCATCACTGATACATGAAACCTTCAGCTTTTCTCTGCTGGAGGGGAACATGGTTGCTCTGGGGTGCTGTGCTGCAGTCATCTACTCAAAGACTGAAATTTTATTAACTCAGTGCCTGAAAATCCATTCCAGTTCTCTCCATTCAAAATTAACTGTTCTTATGAGGAGCACAATTATTATATCTCAAAAAAAAAAAATGGTTCCTCAAACTTGTAAGCAAACATGAGCTGCTGTATGAAGTTAAGCTGCAGCAGAATGCTAAGGCAGCAAGCCACAATATGCCTCGATTTTTATGCATCGCTGGAGAGAATCTGCATCTAAGAGGGCTGTTCTACTGTAGCAACCACTAAGGACACAAACATTCACAACCTCCAGTACCACAGTGGGACAAGCAAATATACCAAATGAAAATGCATTCCCTGTCCCAGACAATTCACAGTCTGATCACATACATCTGCAGAGATGTCCATGCAAATACAGACAGAAGCACAAGAAGTGGCAAAACCGTGGTTAGCTGAGATGGTAACACTGGTCTTAACACAGCAATGATCCAATCTTTCAGCAACGTAGGCAGCCCTTAGGCTGGGCTCGGGGGCCTTGGCTTTAAGCAGGTGGTGAGCTCTGGTGTATTGATTGCCTAATAGGAACATTAACAACCCAGGAAAGGGGGGTGAGAGGAAGCACCCGTAGCCTTTCCCGTATCAATTCTCTTTCACGGCTCCCAACACATTCTCTTCTCAGAAATTATCCTGCACGGAACCCATAAAATTTCAGCTTCTTCCATCTGTGTTCACTGGCTCATGTCATTTGCCATTACCTTTAATGGCCTGGGTACTGCTGAGCCATGTCCAAGTCACTCAGCTGTACCCACAGCTGAAAGGATGCAGCAGAATGCTTGCAAAAGAACAGATGCTGTAGCTCTATCATTGTTCAATGTCCTTTGTAAGGCATTTATTGCTTTCTTTTTTCTATTAACTGTCATCTGGAAATCTATGTTACTATCCCCTGTACAATTATCAAGCTGTGGATAGACCATGCCAGGCTTGAAGGAAAAATACAACCTCCAAATTGCAGTAACAATCACAGTATCATATTAATTTTTCTGGCAACAAGAAGGGAGTATTCTGGAAGCTCTCAGTATTTCCTATACAGTAAAATGTCCTTCACAGTTTCCCTTTGAAGCAGGTAGTAATGTTATCAGCTGTAGGGACAGAGAAACCAAAGCAACTCAACACCAGGCAGGAAGCTTGCACCAGAGCTGGGAACAGAACCCAGGTTTCCTGGCTCCTTGTTCTTAGCCAGAACACCTTCCCTCTTCCCAGATGATAAGAGGACTGATAAAGAATATGAGAAGCAGTTTATCATCTATTTACTAAGGGGCAAACCCTAACTCTGGTGGTATGAACCTCCTGTGTTGTAAATTGAGACTGAATGGAGTTACTCTGGGTAAGTGCATAGAGGATCAGGCCTAAAATGCCCACAAACATATTTTTCAATGTAAAGCCAGATATTTTGTGTTACTGAAGTTAAAAACATTCTAGCTTGAAGCAATGTGTTCTTCTTTCAAAACAGGTAAAACAAGAACAAGAGAGAAGTACCGAGTGGTTTACACAGATCATCAGAGATTAGAATTAGAGAAGGAATTTCATTACAACAGATACATTACAATCAGGAGGAAGTCTGAACTTGCTGCAAACCTAAGACTTTCCGAGAGACAGGTAGAGTATGGATCACCCATTCAGGATTTCCTTTGCATTTATGATTGCTGAGGAGGAGATAACCAACCTACTGGTTAAGAACACCAAAATGTGCCTGGAAGCCTTGGTTACACTCAGTCCCAAATACCTTCCAGCTCTCACCAGGGACCTGTGCAACAACACAGAGCATCAGTCCTGTTCTGAGAAACAGGAGTTTTAAAATATCAACAGAATCCTACCCCAATTTCTCTGTGGTTTTCTGGGGTAGCTGCAGCAGGGAGAAGGTTTCACTGGAATTTCTAAAGCAGAAATCCTGGTCCTGCTGAAGCCAATGGGAATTCTGTAACTGATCCTGACAAAAGTCAGTCTTAGCAGAGAATGGCAGTGAGCTCAAGTTATGTTCAGGACACTTGAAGGTATTCATTTCATTGGCTGCCTTTTATTTTTTGTTAAAGATTTCCTACATACTCTCTCCTCCTTTCTCCTGCCCCTATTTCCTCCCATCCCTTCCAAATTCCATTTCTATTCCCACAATGTAAACCAAAACACAATCGTTTCTCATCAAAGGATACATATAATTTGTTCTGAAACCACTCAGTGCAGTGTTTTGAGCATACGTTCAGTCCCATTTTAATGGGGAGTTCCCTGATGCAGCACATTGAAACACGCAGCAAAACAGATCATTAAAAGCTTTACTGAAGGATCCCCCTGAACAGATTTCAGGACGCAGTGTGCTCATTTGGTGCCTTTGCTATCTGCAAAGCGTCACACCACTGGTTTCCCAGTCAGTTATTATTCAGTATCATTCATTGAAGATGATGCCTGATTTACCATTGATTTATGGGCTCTAATGAGGACAGTACAAAATCCACCCACAGTTGTAATACCGTTCATCCAGTCTGAACCCATCTGACACAACATACTGAAAGAGCTCACAGAAACACAGAAGCAAATACTCATTTTGCAAGTATTTCTCAATCTGCTGTTGAATAAGACGATTTCATTATTGAAAATTAAAATTATTGCAATCAAGTACATATACTGGGAAACACGGCAACAGTGTTTGCAATATTTGCTCTTTATCATCATATGTCATGAATGAAATTAATTCCAGTCTCTGAAGTCACTATGGAAAATGTAAGATTAATATCTGATCTATAGTCCCACTACTGCCCTTTCATACAAACTGAACAACTCCATCATATGAGTAAGGCTGAACTCACACTGTCCTGTCCCAAGTTCCACTGCATTCAGCCTAAAAGCTGAAATGAGTTTCTGGAAAAGCTTTTTTCCTGCTTAGGCCAGGAAGAAACTCACATCCAAGACACTGGAATGAGTGTCTCAAGACAAAAGGACAACTGAACAAGGAAGGAAAGATGCAGTATCTAATGAAGGAAAAGAGAAACCCAAGCATTGCTAATATAGCAGGGATAGAGAAATAAAGGAGATGAGGACTAGAAAGAAGGAAGTTGGACTTGAGGGGAAGCGTTACTTACACAACTGAACACTGAAAGGAAGGAGGGCAACAGGAAAAGAACAAGTTGGGCAGATACACCTGACCATGTTAGCTTTCAGTGTAGCATTACAGAGCTGTATTTACTTGTAAGTCTTTGATAACTGCCATACAACTCTGAAGTGCCTACTACAGCTCTCTCTGGATCACTGCTGCAGATCTTCATCCCTCGTTTAATAGCAAACCAGAACTAAAACCTAGATTCAAAGGCAGGTGAGAACACAAAAGCACACAAGGCAAACGCATGGGTGAAACCAGGTTACCTCAGCACAAACAGAATGCAGGAGAGCTGGCAGTACTTGAGACTGCTTTAATAGAACATAATTTAGTACTGAAATGAGATTCCAGAAACTAAGAGCACAAAATTAACTCCCAAATGTTTCAGATGATAGCCTGGGACTTAAAAGAGACTTAGTTCAAATTTCCACAAGCTTTGTGTGTATCCAAATTCCTCAGCTCTAAAATGGGAATAATAATGCCTTGAGAATAAGTGCACCGAGACTGTCCCAGAGACTCCTTAAGATGCTGTGTGGGACTTCACCAGTGGTTTTCTTTAAAGCACAATTTAGTAGCCACAGACATTAATACCTCTTACTGTTTTACTTCCCCTCTGAGCATCAGTTTCTCCCCCTTTCTAGCTTCCAGCAAAAGCTACAAATCAGTATTTCTCAGCAAACCACTGATTTCTCTTTGGGTTCTAGAAAATGGTGACAGAATTGTTTCCTTTGCCACTCAAACAAGAAAATACAACATATCTGAATGAAGTAGCTTGACTTATTACATTGACTAGACACAATATAGACCCACTTTCAAGGATAAATAGCTGGCATGGACTGTTGTTCACGTCCAAAGCCATTTCAGTTGTCACAGAACACTCACCCTCTCATATCTCAACAAATTCTGCTGTATTTTCAACTGGCCATTACTCATCAACCTCATCTCACATTCTCATTTGTCCTGTCCTAATCAAAACCCATACACTCTTCAATAGTTGCTTCATCTCTCCCAAAGACAACTGCAATAGAGCAATGACTGCAGTGTAAAGAACTGCACAGTGTGGGAAGCACAAGCAGATTCTGGCTCCATCTAGAAATGCAATAAAAGGCACTTGGCTATTAAGGCACCACTTGGACAGTATTTTGAAGTAACATTGTGTACCAAGAGCTGTGCACTGGTGAAATTCTGCTCAGAAGTGTATTTCCATTGGCTTACACATTGGAGCTATGCAATTAATGTACAGCATCCAAACAGCAAAGCTCTTGTGCCTCAGTTTATAGGCCAGAAACAGGTTTTGACTTGCACATGTAGCTTCTGATATAAAGATACTCTCATATTCATTTGGCCATCACTGTGACAGATGAAACTGTTCTGTTAGATTGTGTAAAAAAAAAAAAGTAAAAACAAAAATCCAAAGCTTATTCCATAAAGAAATACCTTCTTAAAAATAAAATTAACACTGAAAACTTTATATCAAGATATTTATTAATATTTTATTACCAGATAGGCCAGATTGAGTGTATGAAAACAAGCAAGCAGCCCTGGCATCCCAGTCTGCCACTGACTTTCTCACTGGTGCTCTTGCAATTTACTTTGTGACCCCTATATATATAAAGGGACACACTGCATTCTATTAGCAACTGAAAAGAACTTCCTTTGCTCCTTTGCAGGTGAAAATCTGGTTCCAGAATCGCAGAGCCAAAGAAAGAAAATTAATGAAGAAGAAAATGACTCATTTTGATGGCAGCAGCCTTGGCTCTATGCAGAGTGACTCTGGCTCAGTGAGCCCAATGCCAGTTCCTGACCAACAGACTCATTCAGAAATGCCCAGTTCTTTATTCCCACCTCCTCCTCCTCCTCCACTTCCCATGAATGGTTTGCAGCACAACGGGAATCTGCAGCAGGTAGTGGCCTCTCAGTAAGGCTGCTGGAAGAGCTGCTATAGAATGAACACTATAAACTACCAGTACATGGAGCACTACAGTATGAGAGAGGACAGCTGTAGCTGTTTTGCAGGAGTCCCCAGCATGACATGGATTTGTGCACATAAGCTTCCAGGACAGTAAGCCAAGAGCTCCTTGCCACGTCTGCAGGCTAGCTTGAGTTCCCAAGGACAATGGAACTGCTGTGTGCCAGGAGCCCTTGCTGCAGGGTACCTCTGCAAGGGAATGCCATGCCCAGCCTGTGCCCCAGGGCACAGGGAGGGAGGAGAGCCAGGACCAGCTACAGCCACTTGTTACAGGCCACTGCAGACAAAAAAAAGCACAGAACGTGCCCCAGGCAATTCAGCCTTGCTGAGGGCAGCTGTAAGGGGTGTGTAAGGGGGTGCTCTGTCTGTCCCTCGCCCCAGGCAGAGAGTGTATTCCTTCTCCTTTGATCTTCACACAGGTTCCATGTACTCGCTTCCATGGACTTTACACATGGATCTTGATAAATGAAAACCTGGCATATACGTTCTGACCCACTTGATGGAAAGCCGGGGTTGTGCTGGTTGCACTCACTACATGTTAAGGGCAAAGGTCAGGGACGAGCTTTTTGGAATTTTCTGGGTTTGACAGGTATGATTTCCAATGCTCCGTGCACTGGTAATACACATGCACTCCTCAATCTTACCACAAATGTTTCAAAAGCATTCTGGAATTCTGACTTTTGGCCCCCAAGTTTGGGTTTAGTGGAAGAAAGATTATATAAGACTCATTTTGTATCCTACAGGAAAGGACAAAGGACGGGGGCGGAATCCAGTTAAAAACTTAAGGTACTGTAAAAAGCAACCGCATTTCATGGGGTAGCACAGCCCATGGATAAAGATACAATAATTACATTCAGCTGGTTTTACATTCAGTCTAGTTTTCAGAGCTATTGTGGCATTAAAAATGTTTGAGAAGCCAAATTAATGGAAGACCAAGCACAAAAATACTTCAAATATAAGCTCTCAGCAGTTTTTAAGTGGGTCTTAATTCCAAAGGGCTGATCCCTTCCACGCTAAGCAGAATTCCATAGGTAACCAGTACTTAAGCATAATCTGGGTACCTACTTCCCAAGATGATTACCAATTGCATGTGCATAACTTGTCTGCAAAGGGAGAATTTTCAGAGCACAAAAATGATTTGGGAATTGATACCCTCATTATCAAAAACAGTTCAGATATTTAGGAAGCCCATCCTTGCTGATTTTCATCAGGGTGTCCTCCTGAATCTCTGCCACTGTTGCAAACAAGACTTAGGAGCATTAAGTCCTTTAGGCACTACATTCTTTTTTATTTCCTTAATTATAACAAATAGTACTATTTTGAGCATCAAAATGTTGGTAATGTCAAATTACTTTGTATATAAAGAACATTAAAATAAATGACTTTTTCATAATCATTTTCCAGTGTGGTATCAGCTACGTAGCAAGTGAACATGCAGATTTTCCCCAGGAGTCTGTTAGTGAATTTTAGTATCAAACTTAAAAGCAGGGTGATGGTAAAAAAGCTTGCAAGAAGTAGAGGAGAATGGCAAGACCAGGATGGTTCAGGGAGCTGGCAGTTTTCACTACTTTTTAATTTTATTCAGCATCTTATGGTTGTGAGAAGGACCACACTTCAACTTTGAATAGACACATCCCTACATTGTAAAATCCCCACTTTCACAATGCTGCTCCACTTGCTGGCAAGAGCAGTCTGAAGGTTGGCACAGGTAGTTCAAATGAGAAACTCCAAAGTTCAGCAACAGAAAGACTCCTACTCATTTTCACATGTTATGAAAAGCAGAACATGACAGAGAGCAAGGGGGAACAGTGATTTACTACCTGTGCGGATGAGCATGGCAACCAAAGCAAAACACTGGTCTCCCAAAAGACAGATCCATTGCGTATGTCCAAAAGAGGAATCCACTGGAAATACCCAGAACAGCCAATCTGTCTAGAGAGGGAAATGCTAGATATTTTACCTGCAGTCAATACACACATACGTTTAACTTAATACATCCTCACACTGGCCACTTACACAGAATTTTGCTTGCAAACTACAGAAAAATCAGTAACAATGCCCACATTTAGATTTTCAGAAGGTAAGAATACAGAAGGAAACTTGTCTTTTGTACTGATACACAGTAATTCAGGACCTAGTTTTAGCTAAATGCACAGAATCATGGCCACAGGGTTGTGCAGGATCAAGTTCACAGCTACCTATTTTAATCACATTTTCATGATACAGTTTAAATTTGTATTAGAATTTTAAAAAGGAAAAGGTCCTTCAAGAAAGAACTTTAAGGAATCCAACTTCTTTCTCTTTAGAATTATTTAAACATCATTCAAAGAGAGGGGGATCTGGCAAAACGACCTGGTTTATCTTGTTTACATGCAGAAGAGTTATTGAGGAAGATAAGTGACCACTTTGAAGATGTGCCTCATTTCTGCTCCAGTTTGCTGAGAGCACGCTGGCTATAGGTTGCTATGTGTTTCCAATCAGAAGTTGTTAAGTACACAAAATAAGGCTGGATTTTATTTGCAGAAGCACATGTTCAAAGGTTAAAATTTATTGCTCCAAAAGCAGTATCTATAAACCAGGGCAATACCTTAGAGATTATTAACCTTCTAGTTACACCAGTGGCTGTTTTAAGGTGTTCATTTTATTTCTTTTTTAACTTACCAGCAATCTGTTCAACTAAATATTTTCAATGTGTTTTAATTCTTCAAAGAGCTGATCATCAAAACCAAAAGAAAAATATTTTATTGTATTGTGTATAATTAAAAATGAGATATAAAATTGGAGCCAAATCAACTGACGTTAGTTTGGTCCAATATCGTGAGTCAGGAAATACTGGTGCTGGTCCTTAGAGTGAAACTTACTTTCTTCCTGACTTTGGGTATATCATATAACCTATCACTTTTGATCACATCTAAAACCTAGGGACACTAAAGCAGAGTTGCTGTGGAGATTGATTGGTTGTTAGCAAAGTGCCTTGAAGAAGAAAAGCATACCTTAGGCAACATCACAAGAGTATCTAAGCCCTTAATCCTAATTGTGATTAGAAGAATGATCAAGGTATATCTAATTTTCAGAGGAGTTCATTAACCTTTAAACCCCACTACCCAGCAAGAATTGTGATCTATATGATTAAAAAAGATCAAGAAGGGTACAGCAAATTGGACATTCTATAAAAACTTAATGCAACTGAGAGTCACAATTCAAAATGACATTTCTAAAACAAAAAAATTCAAACACACAGCAACTGCAATTGCTGGGGTTATGCAATCATTAATATACATATGAGAGAGAATCAGGTATGTGCTACCTTTTTCCCAAGGAGCTGATTCAAAGAGATTCATTCTGGATGTTACCATAAAAATTAAAGAGCATGCTCCTACTTTAGCACCCTTATTGAGGCTGCTGGTGCAGTACAGGCTTACTCCAACACAAGTTGACATGTCCCTACAAACGACTTATACAGCCTGTCACATTTTGGACTGGCCCTGGATGATACTAGTTGGACACTATATTGTGCAAACCTCACCAGGTAAAGGAATAGGCACAAGCTTTAGGATGAAAAGGTTTGCAAGCTGTTTTCATTCTCAAAGAGCGCAAATACTTTCTCGTGCATTTTGTAACAAACTCTGTTCTAAGAGGTATTGCAATAAAGGGAGAGGCTTCATTAAGATACACCCTGCATGTTCTTGGTCTTCCCAGTAAACTACAATCACTTTAAGGCAGGACATATACAGACAATAATGTCTCGTCTGGGAGTATGAACAAAGAGTTAAACATGTACAACAGAAATGCCAGTCTACCAGGAATATAACCCATGCCTATGGCAAGGATGGCAAACAGTAAAGGCAATCAATTCCTTTGTTGCCTCAAGAAAGAAAGACCACAGCAACGAACACCTCAGGCTCACAGTTAGCACCCCACAATGCCATCTAGCCAGACTCTGCTCGGCAAGAGCTACAGTAAGTGGGAGCCCTGTGCTACATGACTCGGGAAGGAAACCAAACAAGTGTCAATAGAGGATTTGCTGTTCATTTTCCTGGTGCTGCCGAGAAGAGTCGATTTAACCTGGAGTTCACATGCAGGCTCTGTGACTCTAATAGCTCTGCTGCTTCAGCAGTAAGACGTACTCTTATTTTGTACTGATTTTGTAACAGACTACATTGCTTAGATTTCAGAATACTAAGACCCTTCTTTAGCTCCAGACCATTATTTCCTGGCAAATGCAACACTGGTGCAGATTACCCATGAAATATATTTTTGCTATGTTTAATAAAATGCAAAAGTTGCCATTAAGAAATGAGCAGTCTGTCATTGTTAGCAGCAGTTAGAAAACACCAGTAGAGGAACAGACAGAAGGGTAAATTCAAACCTCATACTTCCAACAAATCACTTGTCATCATTTTTCAAAAGGATTTAATAGCCAAAATTTCAGAGCACAAAACTAAAATGAAAGCACTGAGGCTTTCCTTACAACTGACATTTTTACTTCTACTGTTTATCTCTTATGAAAACCAAACACACCAAACACACGTTAGGGATGAAAAACATAGTGCCAAACAGAAACTTGTGATATCTCCCTTTCTCTTTTTCCCCAGAAGAGTTCAGTCCAGCAAATGAGAATGTTTCAGCAGCATCACTCACTGAGCTCTCTGTGCTGTGCCACATCTGTCAGTACAGATATCATTTAGCATGTACTTGCATTTCAAGACCTGAAAACGAGACCTAACTCAGGTGTCTTCAACACCAGGGCGCTGCATATTAAACCAGCCTCATTAAAAGAGGGTAAATACAATTTTTGGAAGCTGTATGCTTGTAGAAGAGCTGTCTCTTCAGCTGGGCGTTTCAAATTTTAAACCCATCTTCCTGCCTTCATGACTAGCTGGATTTCACTTCCAGCAGAACTGACCTCAGCTGACAGCATGCCACGTATTGACTGCCCCTTCCTCAAGATTTATACAGCTGACTAGGAATTTTAGGGGGAATGGGTAGGCACAGAAAGCCCAGCTTGAAAAAGACTCAATAACATCTCTGAGATACTGCAAACAACCAGCAATACACAGCTCACTAACAAAGTCCTTAGCTAGCTGTTCCATTGAAATTCCAAGCATGCAGTTCTAAAGGTATGGGCAAGAAGCATTCCTAAGCCTGATGTTACTGATGTGTAATTAGAGTGGTCATCTGGAGGCAAGAAAACAAACACCTATTCCTATCACCTTCGCCAGAATGGGACACACTAAGCTCACCTGCTTTTTCACCTCACAGCCAAAAGCCCAGAGAGATTTCATATCATTTTCGAGCTTCAAAGATGGGACAGATTTATTTCTTCTTATCTCCATATAAAAGCAAGAGTAACTTTATGAGTAAGGGTTCCTAATAAAAACTATCACAGGTTTAACACCTTTAATATAAGTTCCTGTGTACAGGCCAGTTCTAATCTACTAGTAGTCCCTGAAATGGCAGTTGTAATAGCTGTCATTAAAACATTTCATTGCACGTTGTGATTCCATCATTATTACCCAGTTTCGAAACGCTCTTTAGATCAGCACATACACGTAGCGCACCATCTACACTGCCTGTACAAGCAAAACTTTAATACTGGCTATCACCAGGCTTCTTATTATTGCTAGATTTTCATCAAACACTGTTAGAAAATGAGAAATTTTCTTCCCCAATGATCTCAAACTACATTTAATTTTACACACAGACAACTTTACATCAACAAATCATAACCTTGGAGTTCAGTTATTCTGGCAATCTGTCTCTGAAATATACCAAAGAGCACAGCACCCCTGCTGCTGCTACCACGCAGATCTTTCCTGTCCTGTCTTTATCACCACTGCAGAAAGTGGTGTAAGTACAAACCCCCATATGGATGAGATTTTGGGATGTCTAGCCTACTACCTTTTACCCCACCAACAGCAATAGCTACTCAAAGCATTCCTTGAATTACAGTGTAAGTTACTGCTACACACTGCAGATGCAGTGGTTTGGTAGCTCTGAAGCTACTAACATGGGGGATGAAAGGACATAAGCATGGCCAAGAAATGATTCTTTGGAAGGTAGATTCAGATGAACCATCAGTAAGCTCTCAAAAAATATCAACCCCAAAATTTTGGTAGCCTCAAGCTACTATACTACACAAGAAGGTACTGTTCCTTTTTAATATATCCACATGGTTCTGTTACACAATACGGGAGGCCTAAGAGTCAAGATGCAGATAATTTGAATGTTATTCCATTTCAGTTATCTCACACTCACTCTGGTGTTAAAAATCTGCAGTCCTGCCCAGTAATCTTATCCTGCTATGTAAATCTTTTTAAACAAAAAGCCTTACTCAGAGCTTACTATTGTTAGCTGGTATCAAATCTGTGTAGCAATTTGCCATGGCGTATCTTGATCTAATTACATTCTGGAAAGAATCGAACTAGATCTAAAGAAAATTCAGATAATGGAACAGACAAAACAAGAAAGGGAAAGGAGGAGCATAAACAGAAGATAAAAGAAGAACAGAGAATAAAAGATAAAGCTGTGAGATACAAAAAATAGGATTAGGTGATACTGAAATTGTGGGGGGTATGCGCTGAGGCATCCCATAATGAAAGAGGAAGATCAGGGACTGAAAATGTTTCCATCATCTAATGCATTCTATGACATTCAGTGTAATTCAGTGAGACGTGAAAACCACGTACTTAGCTGTCAAACATGTCCAATCTGAAATCCATGAGCAACCAATGTTTATCTGTACTGCGCCAATGGATTTCAGATACAGCCAATGGAGACAAAACTTCACCCTCTTATGGATGTGCCTGTGACTGACAGCTCTGCATACCTGTTAATGAAACATTAAAATTTAACTGCTGGCATAACGCCCATGAATAGACAGAAATTCCAAGGTGTATTACAATTCCTTTTCTTTCAAGATTAAAGGAACAAGAGTACTTTCTGATTTTTTTTAATGTCCATTTTCATAAGTGTGCATCAATCACAGAAGGCCCTATCCCATGATGCAGCTTTCCTCAACATTCTCAGGATCCCAAGGATTAATAAAGAAACCTGTAAATATGGCAAAATGAATTATAAAGATTTTGCTATTTTACTTCTCAGTAAAATTTCTTTCCTCAAGAAAACCTCCAAACCCACAACAGAAACATCCTTCCCATCTTTAAGTACACACTTAGAATCCTTTAGTGCTGGAATTAGAAGGGATGTGTGAATATGAGTAGTGTCAGAACACAAAGCAGACTGAATGAAAACCCACACCTTTGTAAAGGGAAACAACTCACTGTAATTTGCACCTCTTTTGCAAGCATACACCTTGACAAATAGCTCATTGCAAAGAAATCCATCCAGGATAAAAACATATCAAATTCACTCTACAAATTGTAGCTAGACAACCACATATAAAGACAATTCTCAAGCCATAAGCATGGTTTAGTTCTCCCATGGTAATATCCAGTTCCTCATAACAACATATAAATGCAGCTTCAGAACGGTTTTTCCCTGTGGAAACACTTGCACTGACCTACACAGTACCCATGCGCCAGGCATGTAATGGAGAAGCATGGAGGCAGTTCTGAGCTACTAAGTTGGTAACCCAGACATTTCCCCCTGCTGATTTCACCTACCTGAGCTGCCACCGCTATAGCAGACAACTACACAACAGCTCCAGAGTAAGGAACCCAGCCTCTCAAGCAGATCATTTTGAAACAGAAGCCAACAGTACTGCTGGGTGTAATCAAAGGGTTTTTTCACTACTCTTTACAGTCATTTTCTTTGTACTTCTGGAACTACCTCTGTTAGGAAGATTTATTGTCTGCTTTTTAAAATCTATCAGTTTGCAACAGCCACCAGATGAAGGGATCTCTTTAAATCACTTCCTATGCGTAAACATGTGCATTACAGTTAAAGCCTTAATTTCTCCAAATTACAAACACCAAAAATGAGGGGGAATTTTTGGAGGCAGTTATACTCAAGGCATGCTGTTTACAAGGTGCTCTGTATTCTGAAGTTACTGACTTATAATTATTCAAATTGCCTGCGTCCTTTAAGTAAAAAATAGGGGCTCTTTTAGTATCTGAGAAATAGAGTAACATTTACTTGCTGATCAGTAACACATCACAGAATAAAGGTTTCAGCCAAGAATCATTTGAACACCAAACATTTCCATCATACTTACTTTAAAAGGGTCTATTTTCTATTTTACAAGTACAAGCAACTGTTGCATCATCCTACAGTACTGGAATTGCTGTTGAATATCAGGAAAGGGTAACAGGACAGATAAAAGTTCTCTAAAAGAGAAAGCACCAGAACTAGCAGAAAGGTGGGGTTGGGCAGCCCTTCATTTGAATGTAAATGTAATTATGAGGCAGGCAGTTAGGCTGACGTCAGGCAAGATCTTGGTAAACCATTACCACCAGCACCTGGTGACACAGTTGATAATAAAAGAGGATGAAGTAGAAGATTCCAAGCAGAGTGGCATTATTAAAGAAAATCAAACACAATTCTATTGAAGCAGCAAAAGAAAATACGGAAGAACAAAATGTTGTGACAACGCATTTACGACCTGTGACAACCATGTATGTGAGCTCTCTCTTGGATAAGGAGAACAGCATGTATCCAGGATCTGCAAGGAGTAACAACAACCTGCCAGTGCAAAACTTTGTGTCTACTCCATCCTACCCAGATTACATGGGATACCATCATGTGCCAACTATGGACACCCACGGACAGCCTGCAGGAACCTGGGGATCCCACTATGGCCCGCAGAGGGAGGACTGGAACGCTTACGGCCCAGGACCTTCTAGCACAGTTGCTGCTGCTCAGATCAACAGCTCGTCTCCTGGACAGGTCTCCTACACTTCTGCTGATTACAGCTCCCTCCATCCCGCTGGATCTGGGGGGTTACCTCCTGTAGATACAATTAATACACAGCAAATCTCTCCCAACAGCCAAAGGCACAGCTCTTATGAATGGATGAGGAAAACAGTGCAAACTAATACTACTGGTAAGTGCATACTCAACTTTCAACCTGAGAAAGCATCTTCTGCTATCACTGATCTTACGAATAATTAACTTTACTCAAAGCACATAGGCTCATTTATGACAGTTATTTAACCTCCTGCTGTTTAATGCAGTTTTAACTAAATTTGCGCTAGTTTCACTTTCATCCTATAAAAGGCTTCACACGGTTACTACTGTGGAATGGCTCTTGTGTTTAGATAGAACTGCACCTCCCTCACATATCTTTGTCATAACTTTCTGTAAAGCTTTTTGAATGAAAACCATAGTTTTGAGACTGTTACAAAATAGTGGATGCAGCAACACTGAACAGTTACACGCAAAAATACTATGTAATGATTTTGTGCCACAAGGTAAATCTCAACATATAATCAGGTTGATCTGCTTAAATCTTTACATACTTTTCAATCTTTTAAAGGAAATTATGTGCTCTGATCCAACTGTAGTGATTATGCAGTTTTCTGCTGTTATTCCTGCGTCTTATTTTTCTACCTTGATTTATTAGGTGGGAAGAAATATTCCTAGAGCAGTAATCTGACCTGAATGATCAGCGCGGACTATTCTGTTTGCAGACCACATATCTCATCAGTTAAACTTGCTTTGCATTTAGTTTCAAATCGGTTTGAATGTATTTTTCTCACATAGCAGAATGTTGCAGCTTGCCAAAATTCCACAATTAAAAATCACTTTCTTGCAAGTGTCACTCACTGAAGCGCCTGATTTTGTCACAAGCTGCCTGCCATATGAACCTTTCAATGTATATTCCCAAGGTGTAAATTGGGTGTAGCAAGGATTGCTACATCTATTGTTAAGGTTAAAAGTCATAAGTGTGTGTTAGAGAGCATCAAAGGAAAGGTTCTAAAGAAAGAAGAGCAATTACAATTGGAGCAATCTTAGGAGACAGAAAATCAGCTCTGCTGCTTGAAACAAGTGGTTATTGCTCCAGAGCAAAATCAGTCTGGGAACTGTTTCTTACAGTTCCACCCTGTTTCCTCACAGTTATTATATAGAAAATGCCTAGTGAAGGTTAAGATAGCACAATGTCATCCTTCCACTCTGAGCCTCTACAAAGGTCTTCAAAGTCAGGTAGATTTATAATCTCCCCCCCATGTATACTCATGTAAATCAGCAGTTACTTCATTAACATCGTTGGAGATTTCCAGGTGTAGAAGTGATGCAAGACTTGAGCATAGACCAAATTCAATTCAGACCAGTGAATGTCAATGAGTCATACTGTCACTGCATTTTCTGTTTTAACATTCCTGAAGAATAACAGAGACTTCAAAATTCAAATCCTAGTTTTACACTTACTGCACAGATACAGAAAACCCCAAAAAGTTTCTCACACACTTGTTTACATTCATAAAATACATCTGCAGTTTAGAAAAGCAGTTAGGTGCTTAAATTCATCTCTAGTCTGAAAAGCATTTACACACATGCCAAAACACTTTATGGACAATACAGCACAGGTGAAACTGCCTATCAACAGATCCATGTCCTGAGGCTGCACATTCCTACAGCCCATTCTTTGAAGTGTTAAAACCAGCTCAGGACTTCACAGAACTGGGTTCAAGACATCAACCCAGCTTAAAAAAAGGGTTTGGGAGAGTAAAGCATGAAGGTGGCATTTTGCAAAGCAAGAAAATTAGAAATTTCAGTTTTCACTGGTGTTTTAATGTTCACCACAAAAAATGGGAAATTTTAACAGAGACACACAAAAAGTTATGAAAAATGAAAGGAAATTAAAAAACTAACAAGGCTAAACTTATCGATGCTTCTTTAGAAGATAATGTAAGAACAATGACTTGCTGCCATTATAACTATTCTTTGAAACAGACTTGCTCTGGTTTTCCCTACTGCCATACATTATTCATGATATCCAAGTGGCTGCTGGCTGCTTAATACAGTCATTGCTCCAAAATTCCAGAATTACCACCCTAAACTTTACTGTATATTTATATCCATAAATCTGTGTATGTCTTTAACTTCACTAGTGGCATGTACTCCCATAAATGTATGTGAGCAGCACGGAATAACAGAAATCCAAACACATGTAATTAAATGAGGGAGCCTACAAAAATATGGTCCTAAAGACCATGGGGATTATTTTGTGGGAGATGTTAAATGAGAATTTCCCCCCTCTAGTTAGACTCTATTAAATATGCCACATTCTTACTCAATATTCACATTTAGCATTTTATACACAAAATTAAATTGCAGAAAAAGTGAACTGGAAATTTACCTGACACAGTCAATTTCCAGGATGAAACAACACCACAAACACAGAAGTACTATATCCTCTCAACAGATAAAATGTGATTTGAAACTATAAATCCTTTTACTGAAGGACTGTAGCTGTATATTCAGAACCAAAGCTTTTATAACTTTAAATACACAGACACTGCAAACAGATGACGCAATAACAAATTTTAAAACACAAACATCAAAAGTGGGCTTGGTAAAGGTACCTTCCCAGACAGGCTCTCAAAATGGGACAAAGAACTTCCACAGAATTCCTCACAGTCCGACCCTGGTTTTAATAAAAGGCAATGACAAATGCCCTGTCAACTTATGTAAGAGCAGAACTTCAGACCAATTCATTTCTAAGCTCCATGTAATCAACAGTGTAAAATACATATTTCATGAGAGCAAGTGAGCCTTCAAGGCATGAAACTTACTGAAAAGAAGGTACCTAAACAAGGACCTAGAAAACAGGTTTTATATCTTTTAAAATTTCACATGAAACTTCATTTGAGAGTGACTCTTCTCAGAATGGGAATGGACTTGGAGGGGGCTAAACAAAAGGACAATGTAATTTTTATATTCAACTACAGCCAGCACATTTTGTGTTGTTGCTTAAGCAAGCAGTGATGTACATGTACTGCAGATTACATGACAGCAGAAGCAGAGCCAGAAAGCAAAATAGAAAAGCAGGAAAAAAGAAAAAGCCTCTGCTCTAATGCTAATTTATTTTGCTTTGTAAACTAGTTGTGACATCTCTTTTCCACTGGCCTACATTGTCTGAGTTTTTGAGGCCTATCTGTCATATTGAGGCAACAGACCCTTTTAACACTTCGCTTTGCTTTGATATGCAGTCTTGTCTCTTCCTTCTCCCTCTTTTCTTCAGGAGTTATATTGCCGGAAAGGGTGATGATTTTCACAGCAAATAAAGAGGCCTTCTCCCAGCTTTATTGTCTTCAGAAGAAATGCTCTGTGAATTTTATGACCAAGGGGAATGGGGAAAACTACTCCTTTTCTCCACCCCCTCAAATCATGGTTATATTTGCTGATTATAGTGAAGCCGGAATAACCCTGTTGAATTTTAACTTGTTTTCAAAGCTTCCCTCCTCAGCATTCAGTTTACAAGGAACCTGAATATCTCTACTATTGTTAACATTAGAACTATGACTTTGAGCAAATATTTCAAAGCCAACAGTTTGTATCTTGAAAAAAAAAATAAACTTAGTTTGATGATTGGTTTAGTCCTGTGAATTTAAGCAGGAAAACTTTGTACACTAGAAGTCAAAGTGACAGAGGATTTTGGAAAACATCTTTATGTGTATTTCAAAACGTCTTAAGCTGTGTCTACCTCTAGACTTCAGCTAAAAATATCCTAGTCTATCCTCAGTGTTGGTCCAAAACATGAGAACTGAGGAAAAAATATTCCTTCATCTATTCCTGTCCTTTTTTCCTCTGCTAAGATGAAAGAGTCTGACATTTGTTTAGGGCTTGTAAATTCCAAGCCAATTGGCTTGTGTTTCTGAATGTGAAAGGGTTTTTTGATAAGATCTCCTTGTCGCTCCTTTGTGTGGCGTGTGCTTCATCTTAACACCTCAATGGATTTTAGGGAACCACTTTAAAGGAGTCTTTGTCCTACAGTTTGTCCCAGAAAACTCACATCAAAAAAAAAACCAGGAAGATCAGAAGAAAAAGGAAAATTTTCTATTTGGCTGCTGAAAGTGCAAAGGAGAACAAATAAGTTGAAAAGTGATCTCTCTGTATTATTACACAAAGAACTGTTTAACAAAGTCAATGGAATGAGAGATACCTTCTAAACATCTACTAATGTTTCTCTTAACACTCTTTATCCAGTACATGTAAGAATATTTCTTTTACACATTAGAGAGGGGATGATACTGAAATCCTTTTACAAGTATTTTATTGCCTCGTCTTACAAATTGCCAAGTGCCTACAACTCTAAAGGGAAGCTCAGGACACAGAGCAGCCCAGTCACACCTCCACAGGCACTCAGCATCCTGCAAGACTCAACCTTTCCAAAGAAATAAATTCAAATTATTATTAGACTTCCAAGCATGCCCTGTGGCCACACAAGAAAGCAAAGGCTTTTCTAGGACACTTCTTTGTGCTAGAGAGGTGATCTTTACAAACTCAAAGAAAGAATCGGGACACAGTACAACTAAAGAAATTGTGACTGAACTTCAGTCTTGAAATCCTGTGCTTATGCCTGCCTACACACAAAGTGACTTCAATGAGCACTGAAATTAAACCCCTCTGAAATCAAATATAGCCAGCACCAATTATGTACTGCTGTGAATTACTGAAGATGCTTCAGGGTGTGTTTCACTTGAGATTTACATTTAAATGTATGTTTACAGAGAGAGCAAGATAAAGAGGGAAAGACAGTTACGATAACCAATATTCACTCGTTCACGCTGCACCTTGTGTTTTACCTCTGTAATACAGAAAACAATCCCATGCTGGAACTCCGTGGTCTGTAAAATGCTTGAAAGAAAAATCCAATTCAACATATTAATAATATTTCTTTCCTAAACAGGTAAAACAAGAACAAAAGAAAAGTACCGAGTTGTTTACACAGATCATCAGAGACTAGAATTAGAGAAGGAATTTCACTGCAACAGATATATTACGATAAGGAGAAAGTCAGAACTGGCAGCAAATCTGGGACTATCTGAAAGACAGGTACACAGAAACTCGTGTGCACCCATTCCCAAACGCTGCTGCTGCCAGGAACTGGAGCAGCATTCCCATTCTGGATCCAAAAGCAGTGTGAAGGCAACCAGGATATATTCTGAGTACACTGGAGACACAGAGAATACACTACACAAAGACAAATTAACAAATAGGCTGATTTGACAGAAACCTCCAATTATGGGTAACTAAAGATTAGGAACTCATTTGCACTAGAAGAAGTATTTATGTGCACAGCAGCTTGCAACACAGCTAGAATAGTTCTGACATTCACTTCTTGCACTCACACAAAATGGTGGCCAGAAAAAAAAAAAACAAAGCATGTGATGTATTTCAGCTGTAAGCCAGGAAAATGTAAACCCAGCATTCAAAGTGCAATCAAACAAGACATCTCTGCAATTTCTGTCACAAATTTATCAAAATCATTTGCACAGGCCACATTCCTCCTCAGTCAGGCAGATTTCAGCACATTTTAAGGAGTTTTTGCAACCTTTGATATTCAAGTCAGGATCTCTTTTTTGCTATTATGTTCATAGGGTCTTCACCTACAGTAGTAGTTCACAACCACCACATATGCAGGATGCTTTACTCTGTAAAATTTGGTGCCAAATATTTATGCTTATTGTACACATACATGTAGCCAGCACCACCCATTCAGGAAATTTCCAAGTGCACCTACTGCTTCTTTGGACAGCAGCTCTGCATTCATTCACATCAAGTACATATTTAAGCTCCATCCTTAACATAGCCGCCTGAGCTGGGGCCCAGGTGTCTTAGCTATACAAGGACTAGAGGAATTTGGGATAAAGAATTTCCTAAAATCACTGTGTTTGAAAGCACACAGGAAGATCAGCTCTGTAGTCTGCAAAGATAGTTACTGGTGAATTCAACCTTCCTTATGCAACAGAATTGCATTGGTTCTGCTACAGCTGGAGAATAAGGGAAGATTTGGCAATACTGAATATGGTATCTCCCACCATAGCAACCACATTTATTGCCCCCAGGTAAATTTAAAGAAGAGATCTTTCTGTTAAGAATTTTACAAACTTCTGCTCTTTCTGAATATACTGAACATATATATATATATAAAAATATATTCAGTTCGCTAAAATATTATCTCTTCCAGTGGCCTCAACTTCTGCATTCAGTCTGTGCAAGAGCACAAAATAGAAAGGGACCAATTGAGGCTGGAAGTGTAAGGATGCATAGATAAGCAATGAAGCACTGGATTCTTATCAACATTGTAGCGCAATGATGCTCAAGCACAGACCTGAATAGTACATAGATTATATTCCACAGACTGTAAGTGGCCCCAGAAAGTAACTCTAGAGAACAAGTCTGCTGGTGATGGGCTGCAGTTTGTTACACATTATGATAGAGCTGCATTGGAAAATTCTCAGAGAACTGCAGTTATGAAAGATTCCAAACCTCTACACAAGCTGGCTGACTTAGAACACAGGCACTCCTGGAGGAGCCAGTGATACTGCATGAAATCAGCACTTTGCTTTCACATAGTCATTGCTCTTAAAGCCATCCAATTTCTGACTGCAAATTCCCTTCAAGTATAATGCAGACAAAATAGATAACCTGGCTGCATTTCTACAAGACTCCTGACCAAGCTAAATGTTTGTTACTGTCACTAAGTTAATAAAACAGTATCTAGAAAATAAGAATGAGATTTTTAATACAAAGCAATGCTACAACCTTCTGTATCGTATTGTATTCAGCGCATTTTAAAGGATGTAACAAAAAAAGTAAAGTAACACAAAAAATGATGATGAGGAAAACACAAGCGGTGTTTCTATCTCCATTCACACTTTTGCACAAGGAAAGAAAATAGAGATACTTAAACTAAAAGTCTGAACAGAGAGAAAAGTTTAAACTCTTCATCAGGGACCGCAGCACAGGACAAGGGGTGATGGGTTTCAATTTAAACAGGGGAAGTTTAGGTTGGATATAAGGAAGAAGTTCTTTACTGTGAGGGTTGTGAGGCACTGTAGCAGGTTGCCCAAAGCGGTAAATGTGAGTCTAAATAAGTTGATTCCTACATTCTTAAACATAACACAGCAAGTTCACTTTACACCAAGTCTAAGAAAATCACTTTACACTAAGAAAAAAAAGTCATTTTCTGTTGATTATGATGCAGAAAATTCACAGGGAGTAACCAAAAACTATTTTGCTGCACAAATCCAGTGTTTTGGTGGCTTTTTGGGTTTGGGGGTTTGGTTTAGTTTTGTTTGGGGTTTATGGGGTTTTGTGGGGGTTCTTTGTGGTTTTTGCTGTTTTCTTTGTTTGGGTTTCTTGGGTTTTCTTTCTTGCTTTTATAATTTTAACGTATCTAAATTTTCACTGTTATTATTACTATAAAAAAGTTGACCACTGCTTTGAACTAATTGGGCATCATTTGTAACAACACAGGTGAAAATCTGGTTCCAAAACCGTCGAGCGAAAGAAAGAAAACTGATCAAGAAGAAAATCTCTCAGTTTGATGGCAGCGGGGGCTCAGCTCAGAGTGACTCTGGGTCACTCAGTCCAAATGAAATATCCAGTTCTCTGTTCCCACCACCACATGGAATAAATGGATTACAGCCTAATGGCATTCACCAGGTCATAGTTTCAGAATGAACAGAAGGATTCTCCCATCAACCCCCACCCAAACACTCAGCTTTGCAAGAGGCCATTCTCATGTAAATGTCTTCAGAGTGCTGATTTCTAAGTACAGGATCTGGGACTATTATCAAAACGTTTTAATTATTGCAGAAACCTCAGGGAACTTGTGCTGCTAAGATTCACCACTCAAAATCCTTGAGGAGGAGGGAATTTCTTTCAGACACTGACCCAAAGATGATACAACTGAAGATTCAAGTAAACATAGTTCTTGTCTAATCATATAGACACAGAAAACTAAGTGAACTGATTATAAAATAGAGTACTATTGCATAAGATATAAGATGCTGGGTGTATGTGGTTTGTTACATGTTATGTAATTAAACTGTAGATGTTAATTAATATTCACACTTATGTGTACTGAGAAAATGCTACTTTTGAAAACAACAGAAACATTTTAAACACAGTGTTGCTGTACCAACACTTTGCATTTAATGAAATGAAACAAATCAACACAGAAGAATGGCAAGTGAAGAGCTGTAACATACACCACCTTATTCATTAGACTTGTACACTAGAAACGCATGAGTTAACTTAAAATTTCTCTTCTAATTTATGCCAAAAGTGAAATAAAAAGCTTATATGATTATTTACCAGGTTTCCATTCAACACACTTAGTATTTATTGCCACCTTGCAGTGTCTAAGCAAGCTCCAGCCTGTCTTCTTCACCTGCCAGGCAGGTAGGAAACACCATGCTGTTCTGAGCCACTGAAGCCACTGACTGTACTTCAAAACCACCACAGTTCATAAAGGAAATAGTCTAAATGAGACTAGTTTAGGTGTCAGATGTGATACAAAGCACCTCCTATGATATGTTCAAAATCTGCGTTGCCAATAAAAGTGCTTCTCTTTTTTATTATCTTCACCCTGAATTTTGTCCATCAGGTCTGTCTTAAATGTATTCAAAGTATGTATTAATAAATATTTGGAGGAGACAGTCTCTTTCATGCACTAAGTAATGATCTCTAAGCCTAAAAACTGTATCAGATTATCTTCTCTGGCTACTGCTTAGTCAAATAAAAAGGTATTCCCCCTATTTTGTACCATGCATAACTACCCCATATCCAGATCACAATGTCCCTTTAAATCTAAGGGCAGTGGCATAACTGTTTCTCAAAATAATCCAATTTAATAATCCCAATTATTAAATTCTTTTAGACTAGCCAGGATAATTTTTATTAAACTTGATTACAGAACTATTAAACATGCAGTCATATCACCACATCAGGAGGGTGGTAAGCCATAAAGAAGGGAAAAAGGCAAGCAGCTGAAAGAAGAAAATCCTTACTGTGTCTCTGACAGGTTTGGACACTCTAAGCGATTGTAGCCTACACCATTACATTTTTGCCAGAAAATGTCATCCCAAATCAAAACACGGTTCAGAATGACACACTGGCACATTTCAATGCCCTTTAAAGACTACAAAACAGCCTGACAGAGTCCATCCTACATTCATGTTCTGCCAAGATTAGCATGGGAGCCCAAAGAACAGGGTATGCGCTGGGTGGAGGCAACTTAACCAAGTCCCTCCATGGCTATTATTTTCTGGGCAGCTGTGTTTGACTCTCCTACATTGCTTATGTAAAAGAAGAGCTTCAGAAGATGTGATCCAGCCCTTGTATTTAATTTTTGTATTTAGGTGGGTGAGAAGAAACACTAAAGGCTATAAGTAACATTTCCCAGTATTTATCTTTCTTCCTTTGAAGACTTCTCCAGGACTTTAGCTACACTGTCCTTTAGCACCTACTAAAATAATAATGAATCAAACACAATCCTCACCCAGTGGGTATCTTCCCCAGGCTCTCCATTTCCTGCCTCTTCCACTTTATGTAAATAGAAAACCATCTCACTGTTTAAATTCAGCTGTTTCATTGGTATTTCAAGTTTGCAAAGTAATGAGCCACTTCAACACCATGCTGATATCAAAAGAAAACTGTGCATCACACAACTGCCTAATGCCAGCAAATCCCTCCTGACATTTATTTGAATCATCTTTATTCTTACGAGAAACCTGCAGAAATGCCAAAGCTTTGGGAACAATTGCCTTTCTCAGGCCTAATGTCTATAAATACTTAATCAAGAAGGAACGTTTTACTACAAACTGTTCATGGTGACACTTAATGCAGCAGTTAATAAAGCAAAATCACTGTGCTAACTTCTAAGTATTAATCTGTGGCAGAAAATAAAGAAAATTATAGATTTGTGTGTTATAGAAATGACAAGATACTTTAGACTAGAAATGGGAAAGGACCTTATTATATTTTTAAAAATCATGATATACAGAGAAGAGAGCATAACAAACCCAACTGGCTGCTTGTAGCAGTAATAAGGGTAAAAAACCTGGATCAGAAACTTGATAACCTCTTGAAACTGATTTTGAGAATCAATCTGCCTCCACATTAAGCACTGTCAGTAAAAGCAGCAAGAGCTGCAGACCCCTGCACATAGCCAAAAACCTTCCAGCCATTGCAAAATATTTGTATTACAAAAACAGTTTCACTAAACTTCTCAAATCACCTGCAACTTTCCTTATCAAATGAACCTAGCCAAATTTGCCTAATGAGTTACACATTTCTATTTCTAAACAAAAGAATGCAATGAGATGCTGGATGCCCACAGAAGGGGAAAAAGAACTCTACTACTCACAGAAATTACCAGGGTCTTTTTCTCATGATAAATTCCACAAGATTTAGCAGGACCACCTATAAACTGGTTACAGATCCCAGTCAAAAGTTATGATTTTATTTCCCAACGAGGAAACCAGTAGGTAATGGCAACATTTTGGGAGTGATTTAAAAAAAAGCCTCAGGTACTTATCAATCAGTCATCTTGATACCTGGTTCATCATCTACATCCAACACAAAACACACCTTTATGTTCAGTCATGTGTAAAAGCCCTGTCCAGCCCCTCATACCAGAGGTATGGCTGCAGCACAGCTATCCTGCAAATTTTGTATTGAGTTATTTAATACACTTGCAGACCATTTTCAAGCTTTCCCTTCATGTAGCGCTGTATGCATTCTGCTACAGAGTTACTGCCTAGTGCCATGACAAATTCTCCAGATGTGACTTGAGTTCTGTGCTCAGGAAGGACCACTTACTGCATCTGCTTCTCTTGGAAGAGAAGAAAGTGCAAAAATCAACTTGGAAAGCAACGTAAGGCTCCAGCAGCCTCACACATGCAGGGCAGCCAAGAAAACAAAGCTTAACTGAACAGGTTTGAAAGCAGCACTGAAAGTGCTTGCTCCCCGAAACACTTCTAAGCATAAACACAGATGTTCTGACATCATTACAGCTTAACTTGCTTCTGTGTCAAGTAAATCCTGATTCCAACTGAGGTAAGTTTGCCAAAGCTGCTCATGAGTCACACAGGTGGGAACAGTTCTTAGGAAAACTGCTCTTTTTACATTGTACAATGATTTTACATCAGCGGAAATAACATGTACCTCATTATTAACCACTACATCCGAACAGTTGATTTGTTGTACAAGTTTATCTCAGTCTTCCCAGAACTTTTCCCATTAGGAACTAAAGAAAAAAAGCTAACCAGGGAAAACTTCTTGAGCCAGTATTGATCAAGAAGCACAACAGTTTTCCCACCAGCCTTGAAATACCATTGTCCAGACTTCAAAAGTATATTCCTATTATACAACATCTTCCTTCATTGAAACATTATATGTCTGAACAGTGAATTATGACAGCCAACATGACATCTCTTGCTGCATATTCTTTCTTCTGAATAATGACAGCGTGGTGGCGACTGATGCAGAACAAAGAAGGAAAAAATATACTGAAAGAAGCATTGGTATGTCTCAGGTCTACATTAGCAGCCACTTTTCCATGTTCTTGCAACATGGCTGTATTTAATACTGTGCTTTGTTTTAACTCCTATCTTTCCTGAACTCTTAGTGTTTCACGCTGTCTGTAAGAACATTTTTTAGTCAATAAAGGAAGTGATTTGGGTGGATAAACATTGCCAGAGACCATCATCTCTCCATAAATCATTCTGTTTTTATGACATAATTTTATCTAATAAACAACAACCTAAAAGAAATATTAAAACTGAGGCATATAAATATTTCTTCCTGTGAAGCCATAAAGTTTGATATATCATACTGAAAAAATTCCCTACAGTATTCACATCAAACTCAACACTAAGCAGCATTCTTCAAATACAGATATGGGCTACGAAAGCTATTTTTCTAAAATGGCCTATTTTTACCCAGTCATCATTCCTGTTAGGAGAGAGTACTCAAAAAATAGAAGAAAAATGTCTACTGAAACTTCAGCTGAACTTTGACTTCAACCTATTAATTAAAAAGCATAAGCTGTTAAATATGAAGGTAGGATATCAAAGTACCTCTTCAATTACAGAGATTTCCTTTCTGGGTTTGCTAATACCTCAGACACTCATTATAAAGAGGTCACACAGCAGATTATGCCAAAACTTTTGATGCTTCAATTCAGAAAGTTATTTTGCTATGTGTTTCATCACTGAGAGTTCACAGCTTAACTCCACCAACTGCTCACTTCTGCCTCAACAGCCATTCAAGTGCCTGTAACATTCGGTTATTTATTAAATTAGTGCACCAGATGCATTACAATGCAGGCTTTGCAATTAAACATGCACGACCAATGCTGGATCTGTCACTGCTCACCACACCTTCCTCCACCACCTGCATCTCATCATTTACATATCAACATTAAAGCTGCGAATTCCTGCAGACAAGTAGATGGGTTTTTATTTCACTTCACAGTACACATATTGCTTGTCTCTCATTTTGTTTTATCCTTCTAGAATTCTCAGCAGTTATTCATTTGAAGAAAACAGAACCCATGCAAGGCACAGGAACTGGGCCTGGCTTTACAGACTCCAAGATGGGGTCCTAAGCACTGTAAAAAAATTTAGCACAAATTTCTTAAAGGGCTTGATCCACATCCCAAGTCAGTGCAAAACCGCTTATCCCAGTGACAGCTGGCTCACACCAGTAGTGCACAGCATCAAGACCATATGGAATGCCAGACTACATCACAAGCTGCCTCTTTTGCTCTCTTTATTCACCAGAGCAGGCTGTGGAATGCTCCTCAGCCACCTGCAACTGTCCATTCCCACAGTTTACCTTTCTCCCTTATGTATCTGAGTGTTAAACAGAGCAATATGCATAAACCAAAATAGGTTTAACTCCCTCTCTGGCCTGTGCAGCAAGTTATTAGATTGTGATTTAACTGCAACTCCACATGAAATGGGTAATATGCTGAAGTAAGAGTAAGTGACACTGATAAAACTGTAGTCAATGCAATTTTGCTTTCAGAAGCAGCAAGATTTTTCATAATCAAGTAACCTGTACCTTGCTTCAGCCTAAATCATTCTGAAAAACAACAGCAAAGATGTTTTAT